GGGTCAGCTAATTAGTGCATAATTCTCATGCAAGTCTTGTTTGGATTCGTGTTAAACAGAGTACACCTACCTTGGTAACCTTTCTTGGAGGGTCTAGTAACTCTCATGCACTATTGTCCTCCAACCACTGAAGTTTCTCTTTAATAATCTTTAGCCATTGTTCTGTTTCTGCTCCTTTTAATGCTTTCACTATTGATAAGATCTAAGATATAGCATAATCAAATACACTTATTTACCTATACATTTTCGATTTCTTCCTTAACGTGATTGTGTGTTTCTTCTCACGCAATGATCCGTTTGATTGAGTTGACTTTGCATCCTCATAATCACTAGAGACATATGAATAATCGGAGTTAAAAAGAAGATAATATAATTGAAAGTTATACTTTCAATTATATTATCTTCTTTTTCTTCAACTTCCTTAATGGAAGTTTCCCCCACTGAACTCTAGCTCTCTTTATTATTGTTCACTCTTTCTTTCACTGCTACTAAACTTTGTGATTTATTTGCTTCTTCCAAAATTAACACATCACGTCTCTATTGGATATTACTTGACTCATTTTGGGATTAAAAACACGATAATTTTTAACGTATTTTGGACACCCCATTAAGATATGTTTCTTTGACTGTTTTCCTATTCCAGTTGATATTTTCTTTTCCTAGATGACTAATATCTGGCTTTCTGTTTGTGCACACCTCAAATAGTGTTCTTTCATTTAGAGATGATGCCACGGTCCTATTTTGTAAGTACCTAGAAGGCTGTATTGGTCGCCCCAATCCAAAACTTTCATTAAGTTCAGCTTCAAATAAAAGATGTTTTGCTTTTTCTTGATGATGGCAAATAAAAAGTCTTATTTTATGTAAAAGGAGGATTGAAAAAGATCGGAAGAAATCATTGAAAAATTCCATCGAATGTTCTAGAACAGTGCTTTTTAAACTATTTGAAGTCACAGCCGCCTTGAAACTCAAGGCAATATCTCACAGTCCCCCTATCTTGTTTTGAATTTTGTATATATCCACTACTACGGCTAAGTATATATCTGCACAATTCAAGCAACATAACCTCATTTTGTTTATTTTAAAAGAAATCAATTTTTTTTTTATTATTTACACTGTTCCGACGGGACTTGAACCTTGACGAAACTCTTGTACAAACTAGAGTGGGTGGATCAGCTTGCGAATTTCGATGATTTAGGGTGCCAGACCATAGGTTCAACCATAATGGGGGGAATCATAAAGAGAAACCAGACTAAGACAAGACCCTCAAAGAGGGCAGCAGCTCTTTGAGTACTTAGGGTGGCAGAGATCACGAGGATCAGTATGGCACTTTGATGCACAATACTGAATTAAAATTAATAGAAGAAAGGCGGAAATACAAAACCAGGACAGACGAAGAAGGGCAAAAAAGATATAAAGCTATAAAGTGGGAAATAATTAGGTAGGGCAGCTAAGGAACAGTAAATTGATAGGTTGCGTAAAGAAGTAGAAGAAAAGTTTGAAGTAGGCAAAGCCGATGAGGCTTATAATATAATTAAAAGGAATTTTAGAGATGTAGAGTACACTAGTAATAATATAAGAAACAAGGCAGATGTCATTTTGATAGAAAATGAGGAAGAGGCGGATAGGTGGAAAGAATATTTAGAAAACCTATACGCAGGTCATGAGTTAAGAGATATATTAGAGAAGGAAGATAGTGTGGAGATAGATGAGCTAGGTTATCCCATAATGAGAGAAGAATTCGAAGTAGCATTAAAAAACTTAAATAATAATAAGGCCCCAAGTGTAGATGGAACACAGGAGGAAATTCTACAACATGCAGGACAAGAGGTTAGAGATCGTATGTCTCTGAGGATTATAAACGGAACGTGGTAGTAACCATACATAAAAAGAGAGGCGCGGATTGGTGCGAGACATTTAGAACAATTAGCTTAACTTGCAATGCGTCAAAAATCTTAACTAGAATTGTACAGTGGAGGATGGAAAAAAGGGCGGAAAAACTATTAAGGGAAGATCGATTTAGGTTTAGAAGAAATAGAGGAACGCGGGAGGACACTCTAGCTTTACGGGTAACAATAGAGAAGGCGATGGAAAAAGGAAAGAGTGCGTACATAAAATTTGTAAATTTAGAACAAGCTTTTGACAATGTTAAATGGGACAAAATGTTAAATATACTTAAATATGTAGGGATAAGTTACAAAGATAGAAGAATGATACTAAGTTTGTATAAAGAGCAACAGGTAGTTATAGAGCTGGGGTTGCAACGTAGAGAAGTATATATTAGAAAGGGAGTCAAACAAGGAAGCACATTGTCGCCGCTACTTTTTTATTTATACATCCAAGACGCGATCAACATCATTAAAGACAGTACAACTGTAGGTATAGATATACAAGGGCAAAAGATTAGTATGCATAGCTTTTCAGATGATATAGTAATATTAGTATCTCGTAAGGAGGACATAGAGATAGCTTTAAATAAAATGGAAGCGGTACTGACACAGCGCTACTGGAAATGTGGTGTTATAGGCGAATGATGGGGATACCGTGAACGAGAAGGTTAGAAATGAAGAGGTTTTAGAAACAATAGCAGAACATAGGACTGTATGGAAGTCAATAAGAAATAGGCGAGACAGGTTAGTAGGACACCTTCTGAAGTGTGAAAGTCTAATCAGAGACATATTAGAAGCAGAAACGGGAGTTAGAAGGGGTAGAAGTAGACCTAGATTAGATTACTTTAGTAAATAGTTAAGGATGTGGGTTGTTCTAGTTTTAGGAAAATGAGATTAGCTCAAAAAGACATTCTACAAAAGCAAAATTCCGTGAGTCCATTCCACCGGACCAAAATCTTACAATAACATAAACTGTAGTTTTATTTCATAAGGTTTATATTTTGATTTATAATAATATTATGATTATTTTCTTCAATCTGCAATCCAGTACACTAGTTATATTGTTGAGAGGCGGCGGCTGAAGAATCTTATGATTGAGATATTAAAACATTTGAGGATGGACGAGATTGACTGGACTCCGAAATACAATTTTCAAAATAAAATGGGGCGGTTGCAGAATGTTACAAGGAAGCATTTAAAAACGGGCTAGATGGAATAACTGTTATTGATGATAATGATGAATGAGATGTAGGACTAGTGGTTGTGGTATTTGCGACTAGTCAATTTGTGATTATTTTGTACATAATACATTATTTTCCGTCATACAGTTAGCATTATATGTTTGAAAATTACGTGTATGCAGCGGCTGGAATATATACATAGTTTCAGAGTTTGAGATAATCCCAAAAATTTTACTCTTCGGATGATGTTAATCAGCAAACGAAAATTTCCTCACAGTAACTTGAAAACTACCAAGAAAGCGGTCAATTTCACATTTCTTGTCTTTTTCCTCTTCTAGAAGATAATTCATCTTAGCACTTCGACCGTATCTGGTCTTTATACGGTCACTTTCAAGTCGTAGCTTTGTACGCACAGCGTTATGGATGGCTTGTAGTCGTTTTCGCAATTCGTCAACGTACTCGTCGGTAAGTACTGGAGAGTATCTAGAACGACTACACATCACGTCCACTGACAACCTGAGTTCTTTCGCGAATAAAATGTTGACTGGTGTTCTTAAAGTTGTCTCATGGATGACGGATCTATAAGCCAGAAATCATAGTGATATGTGTCGGTCCCAATCAGTGTTCGTTAACGACGATTCCTAAATTTGTCTCCAACGTAGCGTTAAATCGTTCAACTATTCAATCGGGCTGTGGATGTAAGGGCGTAATCCTCGTTTTAGTAATGCCTATTAGTTCAGCGATGTTCTTCAACAAAGCCGATTTGAAATTCCTGCATTGGTCGGGATGCAATTCCAATCAAACTGATATTCTTGTAACCATCGTGCAATTTGTCCTTTTGGATTCTTGAATTGCAGTAGCCACTTTAAAAGGGCGTGATATGTTCTTAAGAGGAACTTCCGTCCATACAGGTACCTGTGGAAATGTTCGAGGGTTTTAACCACAGCCAGTAGCTCGACGCGTGACACAATAATTTCGTTTTGGTTTCGAGAGTGTCTTACTAAAGTATCCAATGAAATTTTCTTTTCCATCCTGTTGGGATAACACACCACCAAATCACACATTACTAGCGTCGGCATCCACGGTGTAGGATTCGCTGAACTATGGGTACGTCAAGATTGGTGTTCCAGAGAGTGTAATCTTCAGATGTCCAATGCTTTTTGGCATTCGGGTGTCCAATGGAATGAAACTCCATCTGCGGTAAGTCTATGTAGTGGTCTGGTTATATCGGCAAATTCTCGCTTGAACCTTCGGTAGTAGGAACAAAGTCCCAGAAGTCCGTGGCGATCCTTCAATATGGGCCAACGTCGTACGGCATCTGTTTTGTCGGGGTCGGTCATAATTCTTTCTAGTGTTATAACACGGCCTAGGTATTTCACTTCACGCCTAAACAGGATAAATTTCCTGGAAAATAGCTTCAATCTTGCGGCTGACAATTTCTTGAAGGCTTCAGTCAGGTTTCGGAGATGGTCGTCAAAAGTTCTTATTAGTGTTATGATGTCGTCTATGTAAACCAAACAGATTTTCTAGTTTAGTCCTTGCAATACAGTGTCCATAAGTCTTTCAAAAGCAGCTGCTACATAACACAATCCAAAAGGTATCACATTGAACTTCCATAGACCATTTCCCGTTGTAAAGGCACTCTACTCCTTATCCTACGGATGCATATCCTATTGATTGTCCACTTCTAAAATCAAGAGTAAAGAACTATTTAGCTCCAGCTAAATTGTCCAATGTATCGTCGATTCAGGGTAATGGGTAGCTATCCTTCAGCGTTACGTCATTCAACTTCTTGTAGTCCATACAAAATCTCGTAGATCCATTCTTCTTGCATTCTAACACTGTAGGGGAAGCCCAAGAACTTTGAGATCGTTTTATGACCCCTTGCTTATGAATGTCTTTTATGAGATTATTGACTTCCTCTTGATCCGCCCAAGGAACTCTTCTAGGTGGTTATTTGATGGGTCTTGCTGTTCCAGTGTTGATGCGATGGTATGTTAAGTTAAGTTAAAGTCTTGAAATGCCTGGACGAGGACGTGTTGAAAACGGCCCAAAAGTTCTTCCAATTGTTTGACTTGGTGGTTGTTGAGATGCTTACTTGACCGCCTCACAAGTTCTGATAAATGATGTCGGTTTCGTCTTGGGTTCTTCTTCTCAGTCATAGTGGTGAATTTCTATGCCTTTGCAGATCTTTTAAAGTGGGTATTCTGACAGATATCGATGATGATCAAGTTGTTGTTGTTTGTACTGTCAATTAGTCTATAAATTCTTGAGGGGAAGAGGGGTAGGCTAATATTTCGAGGCGCTCCACATCGGACTCAAAGTGAGTCTCGTTACTTATTTGGTTACGGCCTTTCAATTGCGGATGATGTACCTGCTGTAGATGTTTATCGCCGTAACTAATTTCTAGACGATTGACAAGATGGTCAAGTGTTTAGACTCCTTGGAGAATATCCAGCGCCTCTCCTCGTAAAAAAATTATTAGTCCTGTTGTTTTTCCTGAATCAGTCCAAGCGTTTGCCTCTGCCGCTGCCCAAAACTGCTTCAGGTAAACGGACTATTGCTACCAGAAATTTTTACCAAACAATTGCATTCAGCTACTTACTGAGACATTCTATTGTACATGTCATTATTGTGTGCGATAATAAATAAACTTTTTGCACTCTATATTTCTACACCACGCCAAAAATAATGGGAAAGCATTTCAAATAGGTTTTGGACTGCCTGGAACTTTCCTACTTGTTTAGTAGCACTAGACGGCAAACATATTGAAATTATTGCACCTGCTAATAGCGGTATTAGTTATTTTAACTATAAAAAACATTTTCTGTGGTTCTGCTAGCAGTAGTCGACGCAGATTACAAATATTTAGCGGTAGATGTATTTTTTTACGGAAAGTACAGTGATAGTGGCATTTTTGCGAAGTCGAGACTGGGAAGACAATTGGAAAATGGTTCCCCGAATATGCCTAACAATAATCAACTCCCAGATTCTAAAATAATTAGCACCAAATATTAAATATGTTTGACCTTTAGGAGAGAGAGAACCACGTTTTTGTCATTCGATGAAATATGTCCAACAGGTGACTGTTCGGAATAATTTCTGTTTGTGTGGTGACCAACGGCGCTTTACCCATAACACAACTCTGTCTATTTCCTTCAATGAAAAATTACACGTGAATATATATATATATCTAATACACAAATCTTGTCGACCATGTTTGTGTACCTAAGAACGCATCTTATACCGTTGTGATAGTGGCACTTTTGCGTTGATGGTAAAATGACTAATCTGTCAAGATTTTCAACATTACTCACTATCCGATGCAATTTCGTTTGATTCTGGCGAATAAATATTAATTTTCACTTTTAATTAATTATGTGATTGAATTGTTCGACTCGTTCCATTATCTGATATGTACAAAATTCGTGGATGCGGATAAATTCGTTGAATATTAAATATTCGCCTTGCCAAAATATTAAAGAATATTGCAATGCATCATAACTTCAATGCGTTTCAGCGATTTTTTTTCACTTCATTGCTTTCATTCATTGATCATAATATCACAATAACTCCGCCGTTATCACCAAACACTACTTCATCCACCACCTCATCGACTTGCGGAGCATTATAACGTCGTTCATGGTGCCTAACTGGGCGTTTACCTGCACGTATTAATACAAACAATTCTTTTGTTTTTTCAGGAAAACAGTTGCTTGCGAATTAAATTACTTGGTGACTGTTACTATTGTGTATCTGGACTTCCTATACCCCGTTCTGATCACGCTCATTGCTGCGTGGAAATGGGTCTTCATATGATAAAAGCTATACGAGACGCACGACACAAAACAAAGGTGAGTTTTTAATGTTTATGTGCTACAAGTGATACGTTTTAAAGCTCTTTAATATTGACCTGACCTATAGAGTGCTTTTTAAGGTAATTTTTACTTACCTAATTTCAACTTGGTTCTTAAATAAGAAATTCTTCTTATTGTAGAAACAGAAACCAAGTGAAATGCTTATGAATATTTAGAATCATCCCTAATATAACTTTACGTATAGTAACTTTTGAACGTTAGGCTGTTTAGGGAGAACCCAAAAAGTCTACCTTACCTTTATTAATTTTTGTTGTTACGACAGGCGTAAATAGGCTTTTTACAGCATAAACATAACATTTTGTTCTATATACTTGTTGTTATTATTATTTATTTATTTATTTTACATACTTGTTTGTTGTGAGACCGTTACAAAGAACTTAAACGTAATCTTATACCTAATTATTCTACTTAGCTTAATACTTGATATTTAGGTAACTACATTGCACAGTGTTAATTGCTACTCGCTTAACACGAATGATGTAAGTTTTAAACAGCTTCGAACAAAGTATACTAGTTTATGATTAGTGCTTCAGTAATTGTGTTTTTCGTGATGAATTTTTGTTCTGTTCAGTTCTGTTGCTACATCTGCATTGGACTCTTGTGTCTATCTCGTATTTTATTTTTTTTATTTTGATCACTAGAATTTCTTGGCTTCCTATGCGTAATTGTGCTAGTACTTGTTTCAATTTATGTGGGATTTTCCAATCTAGATACTTTTCTGTCGATAGTACTCCTAGTCCTTTGATGTACTTATACATGGGCATATACTCTGATTCTGAAATTCTTGTAATGTCTTGTGTGTACTGATCTGTTGTAATTTTGATTATTATATTTGGTATGGCGCGCAGTACTTGTTATCCTGAGACTTCCCAAAGAACGTCGCAAGTTTTCTTATAGACGAGTACCAGTTCCTTTTCTCTATTTTTGTGTGAGCTTTATCTAACTTTCTCCGCCAAACGTAGCACCTTCTTGGGTATCTTTCGTCAGTCATTTGTAATAATTTTACCCAATAGTTTAGCGCCCTCTTGGTAATTCTTTGCTCTAATGATGTGACCCCAGTTTTGCAACCTATTGCGTAGCTTGGTGTGGTTCTAGTGATATTTAGAACACTTCTTATGAAGTTTTTTGTACAATATCTATTTTGTCGGCGGGATTGAGGCCCCATACATTACTTGTTCTTACTATATAAAGTGGATAAAGCTATTCTCGCTTTCGTTTTATTAAGAATGAATTGTTTCAGCAAATAGTCCTGACGTAGAGAACTGCACTCCTAGGTAGGTTTAACTTCGGACCATCTCAATTTCATCCCCTTTGTAGCGGAGTTTCCTCAGTTTTGGGTTTTTCCTGCTTTTTTGAATACCATACCTTTCGTTTTTCATACATTAACCGCACAGGTTGCTCTCTTCGGCGTAATCTTGCAGAGTTGTTAGCTTGTGTTGGAGATTGACAACGCCATTTGCTAGTATTTCCAATTCATTCGCAAACAGTAATAGTTCAATACTTTTGTCTATATTGGTGTGACCTATTGCCTTGAAGAAGTCCATGATGTCTGCTAGTAATAATATGAAGAGGAGTGCGCTTAGTGGGTCACTTTGTAATACGCCTTCCATTAATTCTATTTCTTTTGTTTTGCATTCTGATGTTGTTCTTATTTTGGTTGTTGCTTTGGAATAGTACATTTGTAGGACTTTTATGAGTTGTGGACTTACTCCCTGGTTAATTAGTTTTTTCCATAGTACCTCATGTACGACAAAATCGAATGCTTTCTAAAAGTCTATGAATAACGCATACAGCTCGCCCTTCTTCTTGAATACTGCTATTGTAATCTTAGCATTTAATATGCAGATGTTGTATTCACATCATCTTTTAGTTCGGATGTCAGCTTAGCATTCTGGTAGAATTCCTGTGTTTTCCGCCCAGTGTGCCAGCCTTAGTTGTCGTAAATATCTTGGCCATTACATTCGCTAGTGTTATTTCCCTGTAGTTAAGTGGATCACTTTTGTCGCCTTTCTTGTATAACATGATTGTTTCTGATCTACTCCATTCGTCAGGATTTTCTGCTGTGGTTAGAACTTGATTGAATAGTCTCACCAGTGTATTCATCCAATCCTCGGGTACGTTTTTATAAAAATCTGCTGTTAACCCGTCCGGTCCTGGGGCTTTGTTAGGGTTCATTTTCGCTATGGTACTTCTTACTTCGTTTATTGTGATGTCGATGTCTAGTTGTGGGTGTCTGCTGTTCATGATTGGCATCAGCTGTGTTTTCGTGGGCATTCTGGTTGTGTAGAATTCATACCAAACCTAACTGCAGATTTCGGATTCTGGTGTAGCTCTTTTTTTGAATTTACTTATGATCATCCAGAATGACGCCATATCCTTTGCTTCTCTAATCTTTTTGATAATATGACATTACTGAGATTATTGGTATTATCACAGGGTGCGTTAAGTATTTCTTTCGTTTGTAGTATTCTTCTGTATCCTTCTTTCTGTTCTGGAATCCATTTAATGACCGTTTCCTACTTTGTGGCTGGCTTTCTTCTTGGACTCGCAACTTGGGTTGTATTTTTGAACGTGACCTTAATCGGTATGCGGTCTGATAGACCCATTGGTAGAATTTCAAAGTCTATAACGAACTTTAAGTTTGGTAGACTCACCCATACGTGGTCGATGGTACTTACTCCTTGTGTCCCCACAAATGTTGGTGCTCCTAAAGTGTCTGAGAACGATCTGCCATTCAGCACAACCGATCCCAATTACTCAAATATTTCTAGTGTTGTTATTCCATTTATATTGAGTGTTTTGTCCTCTGCTTGCCTTGTAAAGTAAAGTATTTCCCTTACTCACTATGGTCACGATTTGACAATTTGCGAACAAGTACGAATATAATAACGTATCTGTAGATAAAATTCTCAACAACCTAACAACAGTCTAGTCTGTACGACTGGGTAGTGTCGGATTCCCGAGGAAGGTGTCGAGAAACTACTGACTAAAATTTCGCTACCTCAGGCCGTTATAGGACCTATCAATTCAGGTCCTCTTCAACCGTGTTTTGTGTGTTGGGTGATTGTATATTTAGTAGTTATTGATGTGTGTGTATGAGTGTATGTGTTTTTGTGTGAGTGTATATGAGTGTTATTGAAGTGTAGCCACTCTCCGTAGTCGTATATGATGAGAGATGTGACTATCAAAGTTGTGGTTCTGAGAAGAACCGATTTAGTAATACCGTTGGACACATTATCTGCATCTTTGATGATCCCAAGGGCTGACACTTTATCAGCATCAGAATAAGAGTGAGCCTGGTGTTAGACTAATTTTATTGAATATTTACAGGCTATTTATACTAAATTATTTACATGGTTTTATATGGTGAGGAACATTTCAGCACAATACATTTGTGTGTGTATTTGCTGTTGACCCAGTTAGTCGCAGTGTGTCGCGACCTAACTAAGTCAGCACAAATGTAGACGCTTGAATGATACACACAATAAATATTTTTCGCTATACCGAGTGTTCCCACAGGAGTAAGATGTGTAGGTTTTCTAGATAATCGAGGCATTCGTTAGGAAGATCGGGGATGATTGCCAATAGTGTGGCAGAAGGGAAGGGGATTTTGTTTTTGGGTTTGCCTGTGATTCTTCGGAGTGTGTCGGATATGGTTTTTGTTGTGATGGGACTTTCATTGTCGATGGCTTATTTAGCGGATTTGATTTGTAGAATGTTGATACGTTTAGAAATCGGTGTGAGTTTGATGTTGTCGACTAGGGTGATGGAAGGAAAAAACCTATCTAATTTCGATTTTACGTAAAATGCGTCTTTCGGTTGTAAGGGTACTACGTATGTGTCCCGGTATGGCTGTGGTTGAGCGATATTGCCCGATAATCTATGAGTAGTCTTACGAAAGTTTTATATATATGAAGAAGTGTGTCTGTGTTGTATATGACCGTTTATTAGTGAGATTAAATTAGCGCGCTTTCGATCTGTTTGTAGGTATGCTGTGTGTGTTAGAGTGATTCCTAAGTACTTTATTTCTCTCTGAAGTGTTAGTGTAGTATTTAGTGAAATGACGTTATTATCGTTAATGCAAGGGCCTTTTTGATAGTGAAATCAGGATGTCTGATTAATATTAGTTGTGTTTTATTTGATTAGGCTTTATGAGCCATTTTCTGAGCCATAGTTTAAGTTGACTAATTTGTCGGTTAACTTTTGAATTACATGATTTTGTATTGATCTTTAAACGAAGTGAGTATAATTTTATGCGGTGTAGCGGATAGAGGTAGGTGATCGCTAGTCGCTGGTGACCGGTGTTCCTATTATATAAGAACAAAGGCTTTCACGGCTGTAATCCCTAGTAGAATGAAGATTCGGGCTATAGGGCCGTGGTCTCAGTGAACTATTGTGTCCAGACTTTTCGTCAGCTACTGCGGTTGACATCCTGTTGCTGTCGAAACTTCGAGATATAATCTACGTTCACGTTGTCAACGCAGCACTACCACTGGGGATGTCAGCTGCAGTAGCTGACGAAACGTCTGGACACAATGGTTCACTTAGACCACGGCCCTATAGCCCGAGTCTTCATTCTACTAGGTGTTCCTATTCCCTGAAAAAAGGGGGGAGGCTCTATCAGTGCAGAGTATGTGATCAGAAATCGATGAGCATTAATGGCCGAGAAAAGTGATGTTGGTGTTTCCAATCCGAAATAGGTTGAGTGGTAATAGCGCGTTCGCAAGTATCCGATGGTTGGCGTTTATTATAGTGTATCCGAATGTACTGGATCACGCGTTAAAGTCCTCTAAAACTATGACCCTTGGAATGGACGAAACGTAAGATAAGAATATAAATAAAGAAATAGGATCAAAGTTGTCTTTTCCTATACAGGGTGGTTTAACTTGGATGTCTGAAATTACTTTATTTTTTTTGGCTTCCTAACTAATGGTGTTTCTTTTTTTTCCGTCGTAGTATGTTCTAACGGTATTAACTTATAGAGTTCATTTATCTCCAAAAATTAACTTTGAGCTACGTCACCGGAATTGTTAAACAGTGATAGAAGATCGTCATTCATTTTCATCGGATTTGCTTCGACTCGCGAAAGATAATCGGCATTTGTGTTAGCTTTACCTTTTTTATACATAATATTGTACTTGAACTCTTCTAACTTTAATTTCCATCGTACTAATTTTTAATTCCAATTCTTTAATATTAAGGAGCCATTGTAACGGTTTATGCTCATTTTTATGTTAAATTTGCGATCGTAGATATATGGTTTAAACGTTTTGGTAGCCCAAATTATAGCTAAGCATTCTTTCTCTGTTGTAGAATAATTAACTTCATGTTTTTTAAATGTTCTACTCACGTATATAATTAGTTTATCAGGGCGAATGGGTCATTTTAACAAAACTGCAGCTATTCCTACCTTTGATGCATCCGTTTTAACATTGCAAGGTTTTGAAAAGTCTGGTTACGCTAAAATGGGTGGACTTGTTATTAATCACTCTATTGAATTATATGCGTTAACGAACTCTGAGGTGTGCTCAATTTTGTTATTCTTTTTAAGGAAATTTGTTAATGGTTTAGTAATTGTAGCATGATCCTTAATAAACTTTAGATAATAACCGGAAAGTCCTAAAAATGATTTTAATTGTTTCTGTGAATTCGGTAATGAGAACTTGATATTCTTTATTAATTTAAGATGGAGGAAGGTGCTCTTTAAAACTTTTGCCTAAAATGTTAATATCGTCCAAATACACTAAATAGACTTTGTTTCAATACGTTGTTCATAACACAGGCGAAACATGCAGGTACATTTATTAGTCCAAAAGGCATTCGCGAAAAGTACCAATGACCTTGATCGATTGAAAACACTGTTATGTACTACGCGTTCCTGTCCAAAAAGGAAGTACCGGAACGACGTTCCCGAGCATTTCGGCTCGACAACACCACTGTTGAGTAGGTTGTTTTGGTGTTTTGATGGTTAGCGTTATATGTTATGTTAGGCCTTTTTTTATTATTTGCTTTGTCTATAATTACATCACTCCCAATAAAGCTTGGCTATGTGGTTTTCTAATACATTTTGCAGTTTATTATTATATAGTAATTAAATTCTGTAAACTTAAATTTTAATAAATGTTTTAATTAGAACGAAAGATTGCCCCCTTACTTTAATCGCGCCTGGTTGCCTCATTCTTTTCATTATCAACGTCTTTATTACAACCTCAACGCAAAATACTATAGGTAATTATTGTAACAGTGACTCCTAAATTTTTTAGTGCAGATCAATTTCATTAAACTTATCGGTTGAATTTATTTAAAATAGAATGCAAAGTACATTACCTATTTGTTATTTGTATCTTCACATTTAAAAATTAATTTATTGAGTCTTAATTTGAGTTGTTTATTAAGAACTTTTATTGTAGGTCGAAGATTTAAACATGAGGATTGGAATACATTCTGGATCAGTTTTATGTGGTGTCTTGGGATTAAGGAAGTGGCAGTTCGATATATGGTCTTACGATGTTAGAGTTGCAAACCATATGGAAGCAGCTGGAAAGCCAGGGTTCGTTCTTGTGAGCTCTTGCTTACCCTATTTCTTTAAGTTTATACAACATAAATATATATGCAGTTTATGTAATTATGTATACATATGACATAAGTAATTTAAAAATACAAATGAGCATAAGTTTAAAATATATTGGTAGCATTAAACTACAATGTATTAAATTATATTTTGTATTTATCTATAAGTAGGTAAACAACTTCCCATGAATTTGACTTGTTCTCTGAATCTTCAATATGGTCGATCCACCTCGATTTTATCTACCTACACGAACTTATTTTTAGGTATATTCATATTTCGGAGGCCACGTTGAAATGTTTGAATGGTGTATATGAGGTGGAAGCTAGAGATGATCAAGATAGAGATGATTATCTGAAAGAGCAAAACATCAAAACATTCCTTATTAAGCACGTGGAACCGTTAAAACATAAGAGAAGGTGCCCTTCCAGACCCAGGTATTCATAATTTTAATTATGTTTGATACAGTTTATTATATATGTAGGTACGATCCAATGGACTTCAAATGAGCTCCTAAATCTATTGATGTAGAACATCATCTGAACAAATTAGTTCAAGTAAAAATAATTTTTATTTTTCCTATTAAAACGATAAAGGAGAAAATCAAAGCAATTTTTTTTATATCTTTAATTCTGTCATCACCTGCTTTTCAGTGCTAAAGACAGAAAATATATCTGTCTGTCGGGTAGGTCCTCGGAGAAAGGATAGCTGTAATATCAACTCCCCACTATCCGCCATTTCCAAGAGTTCGAATGAGCTGGCTCCTCCTGCCTGTTGATTAAATTATTATCTGACAATCAATTTTTATAGCGCCATTTATAGAAACAAAAAATTGACTAAAAACAAAGTGAAAATCCCGAAACTAGTCGGTAACTCTTAAATTAAGAGGTGTGCAAAAAATTTAGGATCTTTCGAAACTTTATTAGAGGTGATATTGACCTTCAGAATAAGCTACGGTCATTTTAAGGTTACATTGTTTTTTTTTATTGGGAACCATCACTAGTTTTTACAGAAATAAAAACTTTTAAGAGATAATGGTAATAACTAGGTAATGAATTACATTTGGTGATCGGATGCGATACACTTCTGCTTTATTTAGTAAAAGAAAACGTAATTGTAGTATGACCACCGTAACGGTATTAATCGCTCCCCAAGGTAGTTCCGATGTGTCCCATAGTACCGCTCGTGGGAGCGCCACGCGGAACTCGATTCTACCGAGAACGAACGCGCCCCTACCATCGGCAGCAAACCTCTCCAGCAAAATCACCCCGAGGCTCACTGACCTACCCCAAAACCAGTAAAAAAGGCCATGCACCGGACATACAGAAAACAGAACTCATTAATACATAATACATTAGAGTGGCATTCTGAGAGAGTTTTGCAGTACCGAGCGACCGTCCCTTTGGGAACCAGTGTTAAGTGTTTGGACTAACTTGTTTTTCTCGACTTGTAGTTATAGTATTAGTAGTTAAGTTTTCGTTGTAATTCCCGAGCCACACGCCACACCTTTATAACTATTTTTTGTCTCTTTTTTAATATAAATTTAAGTATTATTTTTTATTAAAGTTTGTTTTGTTAAGGGAAAAACTAGTGCATCTTTTATTCACCCTTACAAAATGTAATTAAAATATTTAGAAAACGTTCTGAATGGTCGATTGGAGCGTCAAGAAACGCATATTGAACTGTTGTAATCATTTATTTAACAAACTTGAAACAATTTCCAAAAGTTTATATTTTCCACAAATGCTTTACTCGTTTAGGTACATTAAAAAAATTGCATTGGGAAAAATGTTTATATTCATGTTATAAGTAATATGCACGGATAAATATGGGCTTATTCGTTCAGTTACTAGACCAAATAGCTAAATAAAAAGAAATAGGTATACACCTTGTACGGAAACTTTCTTCAATTTGAGTAATTTTCTTAAGCGACATTGATTTCGTCTTCCATTTTTAATATTTTTTCTAAACATTAAAATAAATTGATTAAAATAAAAATAAGATAGTAACTAATTTTTTTGAACATAAACACCTAATTTTACCGGATTATAGCGTATCCGTTTGAAAAGTTGTATAATGTACCTTTATTTACACAATGTTTTGTTAGTGAAAAACATTTAGATTGTGTTATTCTTATAAAGATCCTAAAGTATCTTAAAAAAGTATATTTTTACTAACAGCATCTTAATTAATACAAACAATACCCAAACAATGTTAGGTAACACCACCCAGCACACAACTAAGACCTAGCAGAACAACATGCTACCCTTAAAAATGCCTGCCACAGTTGTAGGCCAAACGTCGAAATGTAATTGGAAGTAATTAGTAAAAGTCGGAAGAAAGTAGTAGAAGTTTGAAAAGTGAATTAGAAGAAAACAGTAAAAGTTTGGAAAATAAATTGGAAGAAAATAGTAAAAGTTTGAAACGTGAATTGGAAGGAAAAAGTAAGTTTGAAACGTGAATTGGAAGAAAATAGCAAAAGTTTGAAACGTGAATTGGAAGAAAATACTAAAAGTTTGAAACGTGAATGGGAAGAAAACGGTAGAAGTTTATGGGAAGAAAAATTTAATAAGAATATTCAAGAAACAGGAGAGAAGATAAAAGTGCTGGAAGATTTGATTTTTAATGGAAAGATAAAACCAAGTGAAGGGAATGTTGGCGCATCTAGTACACTCATCGAAGCCAGCCAAATCAGGAAGCGATATAGAGTCAAGAACACGAGTAGAACCACCAACGTTTGACGGAAAGTCCTCATGGACCACATACCACAAGCAGTTCGATGCGGTTGCTAAGGCAAATAACTGGGCGCCTGAAGAAAAAGCCACTGTGTTGACCGTTGCGCTTCGGGGAGATGCATGCAACATTTTGAACAACCTTTTCTCGGAAAAATTGGCGAATTATGAACAGATGGTAAAACAGTTAGAGTTGCGCTACGGTGAGGCTCATTTAACAGTGGTGTATCACATCCAACTGAAAACCCGACTGGCCTATCCTAATACACCAGAAGAATTGATGGAAAGGTTGGCAGTGGAGGCATTTACTAATGGACTTCGGGACAGTGACACTCAACAACGAATACGCCTTGACCAACCTAACAAGCTAGCTGATGCATTGGTGTACAAAACTGCAAAACGGGCCTATAGCAAACAGGGAAGGGATCAAATTGGAAAGACCTGCTTGGTATACTTGGATGATATCATAGTGATTGGAAGCACCTTTAAAGAACACCTGCAGAATTTGCAAGCTGTATTCCAGCGATTACGTGAGACCAATTTGAATCTCAGTCCGAAAGGGTGCCACCTTTTCCGCGAAGAAGTTTCTTACTTGGGACATCAGCGAAGGGCGTGGCCGTGGATCCAGAGAAGATAAAGGCCGTGAAGGAATGGCCAGTGCCTGAAAATGTCCACAGAAGGAGGACGAGTGGTTGCCTGAAAATATAAAACACGACCAAGAAAACGACCTGGACTTAAAGAAGGTGATGGAATGGAAAAAAGACTGAAAACGACCAACGTGGCAGCAAATTTCTTCCTGTACCCAAGTACTAAAATGGTTATGGGCTCAGTGGGACGCAATGGTTTTGGAAGATGGCATCCTGAAGCGTGTTGTTGAAAGTCCAGATGGAGAGGAAGATAGGAAGCAACTGGTTAATTCCTCGAAACAAGGTTAGAGAGGTGTTGCAGTATCTTCATGACGGATCATCTGGTGGCCATTTTGGAGTGAATAAGACGCTTTTATTGGGTGAACTGTAAGGAAGATGTCAAAAATTGGTGTAAGAAGTGTACCATTTGTGCCGCGAGTAATGGACCACAGGGAGGAATTTCGAATGGACTATATTCCGTGGAATATGCGAGCTCATAGGAATAAAGAAAACTCGAACTCTATCCACAATCGGACGTCATGGTTGAACGAATGAACCGGATCTTGATTAAACATTTCTCCAAGGTAGTGTCTGATCACCAAAGGGACTGGGACCGCTATTTGCTTTTCTTTTTAATGGCATACCGTTCATTTGTCCACGAAACGACTGGCCAAACACCTGCCAGTCTCCGTTTTGGAAGGGAGTTACGACTACCTTGTGACCTCCAATTCGACTGTAAACTAGGAGATGACTTGGTTGGAGAAGATTATGTTACCAACCTCCGAAGAAAGCTTAACGATATCCATGACTCGGTTCGTCTGGATACACAGATTGCTAGTGACAGGATTAACGAAAACAAAGATATCAAGGCTACAGCAGGTGGTTACCAAACTGGAGATCTTGTTTGGTTGTATAATCCTCGTCGTTGCCGTGGACTATCACCTACGTTCCAACAGAATTGGGAAGAACCTTATCAAATAGTGAAGAGGAATAACGACGTGATCTACCGAATTAAGAAAACTCCAAATAGGAAGCCGAAGGTAGTCCATTTTAATCGGTTGACTCCATTCGCCGGTGCAAATGAAGAGGAGGCGCGGGCCAGATTATTAAGAACTATTCCTTCCGAGCCCACATTCGAAGAGTTCATGAAGGAAGGCCCCCATGTTAACAGGAGATTTGGAGTGACGCAAGGAATCCGATGAGACCTCTTTACTATATCCAAGGAATATTCTCTAGCCCATTGCGCTTTAAAGGATATCAGAATGATCCATGGTATCGGGCCCAAGTTTAAACGCAGATTTGGCGGTTTGGAACATCTTGAAGACCAAGTACAGTAGAGAGGAAGACTGTTGTGTCTGCCTAACGGACGACGCAATATCTATTACCTAGTAACTAAACGAAGATGCTCTGATAAACCTACTTATAGAGACCTTTGGGACGCAGTATTGGAACTCCGCAGACATCTTCTGGAGAACAACCTACAGAAGCTGGCGATTCCGAAGCTTGGTTGTGGACTGGACAACCTAGATTGAAGAATCGTATGGAACATGATCGAAGTCTTGTTCCGCTGTACTGGAATGGACATTTTGGTTTGCAGTAATAACCCGAATAGGACCAATCATGAGAAGACCGTGCACTGTTACTTCTATTCCCGGAGCGGATTTCGTGAAGGAGAGAACTGCAGATTCCGGCATGATCCTGCGAAACGGAAAGTGAAAATGTTTCGGGACGAAACTGTTATTTATTTTATAATATAAATTGGTAAAAAGTGTGAGAACAACTGACTTGTTTATCGTTAACTAACCGACTAGCTTGTTTATAACAACATTCAACTGTTTTAAATACATATGCGATTACAATGGAGCTCAAACAAAAAATTAGTAATTCTCAAAACAACATTATGGAATATGAACAGAACAAATAATTGATTAATCCTAAAATACAAACATAGGCAACGAAAGAGCGCTTTAGTAAACATAAAATCTCAACACTCCGACTCGCTCTTTCGAATAATAGAAATACATTGTTACACTTAATCTAAATTTAACATTTTACAATTTTTATCAAACTTCTTAAGTGACAAACTTTTTGTTAATAAATGCGCAAGTTGACAATAAGTAGGAACCCCAATCACTTGATTATCACCGCTTTTAACACACTCGCGAATATAATGAAATTTTATGTCTATATGCCTTGAACGACCATGGTACACGGGGATTTTAGTTAACTGTTCAGCTGCTGCGTTGTCGATATACAACTTGGTTGATGAACTTTGAAGGAATCCTAGTTCACACATCAGTAGACGTAACCATTGGGTGTTTTTGGCAGCAACATGAGCAGCTACATACTCTGCATACATGGTGGAATCCGTAATAATACTTTGCTTTTGACTTTTCCAAATAACAGGGCCACCATTTAGAATCAAAACTACTCCACTTATTGATTTTCGGTCATGAGAGGTTGCCCAGTCTGCATCACTGTATGCGATTACTTCGTTTTTTGAAGTACAGCTTCCATTGTATGTAATACCTTTATTTAACGTTCCTTTTAAGTAACGAAGAACACGTTTTGCGGCCATCCAATGGACTTGTGAAGGTGTTTCAAGAAATTGAGACAATTGGTTAACTATAAATGCAATGTCTATTCTGGTACCGATAGCAAGGTACATTAATGAACCAATAATTTCGCGGTAGGGTACATTTGCAACTTCACCTATATTTCCATCACTGTCCAAGTTTGGAATTAATTTAACCTTT